GCCGAAAAATTCTGCCTGGATCAAACAGCCTTTCGCAACAATGGTGAATATAGAAAAATAGACTCAGTCTTTTACAAACCAGCAGAACAGAGAAAGACTGAGCAGCTTATCAAAGCATCAGTGGAGGAAACTGCTGAGTGCAGCGATGAAGATTTCTGATCTGAGGGAACATTCAAGAGAACATGCCTCCTTGTCATCAGCTGTGAGAGCAAGGTGAACCCTCCACGTTCTGTGTGTGCGCTCTTTTTTTCTTTTCTTACAAGGACTGCATGTCCTAACAGGAATAAAGAGATGAGAGAAATCACCCACAATAGGAGATTTTGTTCTTAGTTCCTGTGTTTCAGAGGCTGTTTTAGGAAACAGATATATTAATATAAAACTGCACATGCTAATATGATTAGTATACTGCTGTATTTTCATATTTTCATATTACTTTATGCTGACAGATAGAAGGCCTAACCTGTCCAGAATGCAAAAGTTTGGGTGAGTGTGCTATGCCTATAAGCAAGACAAAAAGAAACTGGACTCAAGATGTGAGGAGGGAATTTGTGTTGGATATGACAAAAATAGTCCAGCCTACATGGTCTATTTCCCTCACAGTGGAAAAGTGCAAAAATCTAGACTTGTGAAGTTTGTGACCAAGACCAATTCAGAAAGAGAAACACAAACAGAAACCGTCTCTGATGATGACTTTGAGGTACAGAACAAATCTGGCAAAATCAAGCGTGATACTAACGTTAGTCCAGTATCTATACCTGTGGTAACAGAGACAGAAGACGACAAGAGTGAGCTTGGGCCTTATCCTTCAAGAATGAGGAAGAAGCCAGCTTACTTATGTGGCAGTGTATGTGGTAAGGAAAGTGAGGATCAGCTACTGACAAATATTGACTATTGTTACAGATTAATGTGCAATATCCCTTTAACATTTAGGGAAGCTGTAACTTCATCTGAGTCAAAACAATGGGTTATTGCAATGGATGAGGAAATGCAATCACTAAAAGAAAATGACACATTTATCCTGACCAACTTACCTCAAGGTGAGAAAGCAGTGGGGTAAATGGGTGTATGATATCAAAACCAATGTTGATGGATCCGAAAGATACAAGGCACGATATGTAGCCAAGGGATACAGTCAGAAGAGGGGTGAAAACTATGATGAGACATTTTCACCTACCGCGAACCTCACCAGTATCAGAGTGTTAATGCAAAAATCAGCACAGGAAAATCTGATTTTACACCAAATGGATGTTAAAACTGCTTACCGACACGCACCAATAGACTGTGAGATATACATGGAACAGCCAGAGGGTTTTGACGTCAAATCAAGTAAAGGTGAAAAGTTGGTGTACAAGCTAGAAAAGTCACTATATGGGCTCAAACAGTCAGGCAGAAAGTGATAATGATAATATGGGTTGATGACATAATCATTGCAGCTAGTGTTAACAATGCATTGAAAGTTGTTAAAGAGATGCTCACAGCTAAATTCAGGATGAAAGACTTGGGGAAACTAAAAAATGTCCTGGGCATTGGTTTTGATCAAACTGATTCATGTGTAAAGATGTCACGGAAAAAATATGTGAAAAAAATACTTGAAAGGTTTATCATGCAGGATTGTAAACCAAGAGCGACACCTTGTGAGCAAAAGCTGAACTACTTAGATGATGCTGTACCGATGAAGGATGTTAGAATGTACAGAGAATTGATTCAAAATGCTGCAGCTCGTGTACTAACCAGAGTTAGGAAAAGGGACCACATTACTCCTGTTCTGGCTGCCTTACACTGGCTCCCTATAGAACACAGGATAGAATTTAAAATTCTTCTTCTCGCCTACAAAGCCCTTAATGGGCAGGCGCCATCTTACCTTAAAGAACTCATTATACCCTATTGTCCTACTAGGGCATTGCGTTCCAAGAATGCAGGGTTGTTGGTTGTTCCTAGAGTCTCTAAAAGTACAATGGGAGCCAGAGCCTTTTCTTACAACAACCCTGCATTCTTGGAACGCAATGCCCTAGTAGGACAATAGGGTANCAGATTATTTCTGATATAAAGTCCCTATGATGATACTTCTCGTCCTTTAAGTGTCATAGTCAAAACAATTTCTAAGAGGAAATAAACTCCCTGCTACTCCAGAATGTTGACACTGCTTCACCACCTACATCCTTTAAACATGGTTCTAATTTAGTGAACAAACGGGCTGTCTCTTTGGGAAAAGGTGCCTGTGGCTGGCTGGAGTTGGCTCATCATCGCCACCTTACCCGTGCCCAGTTGCTGCCTAAAAACTTTCAGGACGCCCACAGTAAGTGACCGATTTTAGAAGATTTTCACAGAAGCCTGGACATTTCCGAGTGGTCTGCTTTATCATCAAGCCTAGCGATTTATCTCAGCCAGACCACACAGGCAGTTTGGCCCTGGTGTGAATCTGCCGAACCTCAGGACTATTTGGTGAATACAAAAAAAAAGAAGATATTTCTCAAAATACAAACCACATGCTGGCTTAACTCAATATTGAATCACTCTTGAACAAAAAGGTTTAATTTTGATATTTCCAACCCTCGAGTGAAATTGGACTGGGGTTTATCGGCTCGACCAGATTAATGCCCCTTTCACACCAACGTTGTACCCGTTCTAGCTCCGTGCTACAGCTTTTCTGGTTCGGAACCAGTTTTTATTTTCAGCCCCCGCTTTGTTCACACCGCCCAGAGCCCGAGTGGTGCTGCGTCATTGCGTCATCGTCATGACCTCACCGTTTACGTCGCTGATTTTCTCCCCAACGGCGTTGGGTCAATGATCGTGTTGCTTTTAATCAAACGAAGCCAGATTAAATTAAATAACTACTTCTTAACCTCTATACTTTTCTCCAGACTGCTGTGGTTCATTGTTTATTAATGTGTTTGGCATAAGCCGTTTTCTACAGGCACATTTTACCTGCGTATTTTTCATTATGATTATACTTGTGATAGTCGGACATGACAACCTGTGCAGCCCTTGTATTGATTCCATCCGATAGCTGCTATAATACAAAACAAAACGTCTGCCTGCTCTCCACAATGATCAATAACAGCAAACGGATGGTCAAAGTAAGGTACAAATAAACAGAATCACACTAAGCCTGGTTAGTGTTGCCTGACTTTATAAAGTGTGTTTTTTTTGTTGCGTTCTAGTCGCTTTAGTCAGCGCGATTGCTTGTTACAACTTTCATTTGCCGTACTCGCCATAAACTGTTATTGCTCAGGTTGATCCCGCCCCTGCCCCCGGCTCTGACGTAAGCTTCTTGCTTCTAGACCAGGACTGCAGTCGAATATTCCATTTAGCTTAGGAACCTTCCTAACCGAGTGAAATGACCCGGAAGTCCCTCAGTGGCAGCCATGATAAGTGCCATTCGAATTCTCTAGTCTAGATGATAGGAAAGGAGGTTTCAAACTTCCTTTATAACCTCCTTTAGCTTAGGAACCACTGGACCTCCCTAACCGAAAGGAGAGGAGAAAATGCTGCCCCACAATGCCTTGCAGCCGCAGCATTTGCCGTCACACAACTGTCGGCC